ACCCATACTAAATGGATAGATTCAATCAAAGAAGCCACAGCCTTGAGCGCTGCTCAGGAGATGAAATATATGTTAAAAAAGCACACGCAAGTTGTATATGCACACAAGTGAAGCATTTTCTTTTCGGCATTTAAAAAAAGGAATATAAAAGATTGATTAAAAAGAATGAGAAGGAAGAGAGATCTATCCATGGTTATTAACTGGGACTGTCAAATAGATTTTCAATTTATACCTGCTGGGACTATCTATCAGCTATTTCAAATAACCAGCAAGGGAAGGACATCACCCAGCTAGGGACCATGTTAGGAACAGAGCCATAGATTGGCCATTGTGTTTGACCCAGGAAGACAGCTCTTCATGTTATATCACGAGCCTAGATGTGTTCAGTAACTGTGAAGGAGATGAAACACTTCTCTAGGTGAGTCATGGACAGGCATCAGGGCAGTGATTCCCAGAGTGGACAGTATGCTTGGAGGCAGTGGAAAGATTCAGTGAGGCAGTAAGGGGAAAAGGTGTAGCAGGGTGGCAGAGGGGGCTTCAGTCAAAGTCTTGGCATTCAAGAAGCACAAGGGGAACCAGTGGACTTTAGTATCATGGTAAGGATGAGGAGCTAGCACATTAGTAGTAGGGGAGAAACCATGGCAAAAAGCAGCTTTTACATTTGGGGCTCTGCTTAAGCTTTGTGAGCTTTGCCAGGACTTCTCTGGCAGGTTGGAACTGTGCTACTGCTACTGCTTTCTTTTGTCAGACAGGACAAGAGAAAAGGTAGCAGAAGAAGCAAGGGAGAGAGAAGAGTGTCCAGGGTTGATTATTCAAAAGAGCCCTCCCTCTCTTTCAGACTGAGTGTCGTTCCTCACCAGGGAGAAAAGTGAGAAGCTGGCTGTACCCTTCTCCACCCAGGTGAAGAAGGATGGGGAGTTGCTGCTCAATCAGCTGCTCAGTTGCTGCTCCCTTTGCACCCAGTCCCCCTGGGAGCAGCATCCTAGCAGCTGGCCAGCTGGCCTTCCTTTTGCTGTAAGGCCAGCACAGGTGAGAGGGAAGAGCCTGCCTGTGCCACTGCCACTGCTGTATTTGCACATGAGAGGTGGAGGAGGAAGAGCAACAGCATGT